GTTTTACTGAGCAGGTGCCACTTTTGTCATACGTTTCTTTTAGAAACATGTTTAGACTGTTCAGAATACAAATCCAGGCTCTCAGAACCAGAACGCATGCGGGAAGGTTCCTCCCACTGAAGCGAGTGTTTTCCAAACCCTGTCTCTCAGAGAGACTTGTCACTTAGAAAATGTTCCCTGATTATGAAACTTTGGCTGAATAGTGCTTGTTCCTGTCTCCAATGTGGCGACGCATCCAGGAGCCGTCTGAGGAGAATCCCAGAATCTCACATCCTCCAGCTCAGGAAGCGCATTTTATTACGCACAAGCGTGACGCGTCAACCCGGTCTCACAGTGGACCGGGTTGGACCTGTTCAGGTTTACGCAGACAATCTTTACATTTAGAATTAGCTTACAGATGTAAAATTAATGCAGTAAAATATAAAGCATTTTATTTAAATATCCATTCATTATTTTACAAGCACAGAGCATCAGATGAAGAGCCGCATGCGGCTACAGAGCCGCCGACCCCTGTGCTAGCCTATATTGTCCCCAGCAATTTTTAAACCCCACTCAAGTGTATGGTTATTGTCCCCAGCAATTCTGAAAACAAACTGACGCCCTTGCCTGCACACACCCATAAAGAAGTCAGAGGATCAAACCTCAAGGTGATTATTTATTGACAGCAACACAATCTGCTCATCTCATTTAAAAACACTGACTAATCAGGTCAGAGAGGTATTACCGGATGAATGAGAAGGAAACACACTGAACACACCCCTCTGAGTAAAGTATGTCAGTAAAGAAGACCTTTATCTGCCATCGTCATGGTTACAGGGGACTCAGATGTGGGAACTTAGGAGACCAATGATGGGAATCCACCTCAGCAACCAAATTCAGCGTTTACACTCAAGGTTAAAGCGAGTGTGCTTTGGGACATGTTGGTTCCTTGGGAACAATTCTGATCCTTCATCCTTGAGTCCGTCTACTCGAGTCAGCGTGAAAATCACAAACTCAAAGCAGAAGTGCAGAAAGGCTCTCAGAAATGCCTCTGAGAGATTTCATAGATGTCCGCTGGGCTGTGAGGGATGAACTTCGATCCATGAGGGGATTTAACCATGGTTGTGCGTCTCTGACTGGTGGAACACCTCAGGTTTTATGACCTGCTGCCATTTGGGGCTTCGGGACCGAGCAGAGTGACGGCCACAAAACTAATTAGGCTTGACCATCGGGGGTGGGGGGTAAGGAAGGAGGGGATTTGTGGATTGTGAATGGGTCTGCACAAGTGAATGAGTTAGTGGAGCGGTTGATGTGTGCCATGGGCCGCTGGACGTGTGAGTTCTGAACTTGGAGGATTGCGTCAGGTTTGCTCTCCATTAAAGACTCCACACACACTTTCATGTTGGGGCCGCAGAGCCTGGAAACTCTGACACAGCCAATACCCCCCCCCCCCCCCCCCCCCCACACACACACACACAGACACACACACTGCTCCTAGACTCAGACTCAACCAAACACTCCTTCATCGTCTTATTCCTCTGACCCTCCCTCTCCTCCTCTTCATCAGAGGATCATGAAGATGAATGGTTGTGCGTAGATATGAGGGTCCAGTTGTGGGAGGGTGGGGGTGGCGTATTTGGTGTCAGAAGTGGAATGTGTGTGAACTGCAGACCGCCTCCTATAAATCAGGCAGACAAGTGGGAGGAGGAGGCAAAGAAGAGGAGAGGGAAAGCAGGGCAGCAAGGGAGTGATAGGAAGGATGACAAGATGAATGGGAGATGAGTGAGGGAGGAGATACAGGTGCAAGAGAGGCGCTGTTGAGGGTTACGATTGGCCAAGTGAGAGTAATGACACATGGGGGACGTCACCAATGTTCAAACGGTAGAAAACTGTCTCTTAAATCCTAGAAAAACAACCTTTGATTGTTTGAGGTAGGGCTGGGCGATACGGCCTAAAATCAGTGTCATGATACGTTGAGGATTTCACCTTGACAACGATAGATGGACGATAACTATATGAACGCGCAGAAACAAAAGTTTGGGCTGCCACATGTTTTACGTATGTTTTATGTTTTCAAGTGACTCAAGGTGGTACAGCATTTTAAGGGACACGAATGTCACCCACCTGCACATATTTTCATTTTTTAATTAATGAACATATACAACCAACAATGCGGCATTATACTGTAATTAACAATTATTGTAATATAATTTACAATAGAAATTACCATCATATTTCTGCTTGACTAACAGAATGAGCATGATAGATTTTTGTCAAATGTGTTGCTGTGCCTTATAGAAAAAACACCTTATGGTACCATAACCTGAGCCTTAGTTATCAGTTTATGTATATAAATGCCAAATCACGACCAGGGACGTCTCAATGTACTTCACGAAGTAAACATTCTAATACAGGTCAGTTCATTAAGCCAATCAGTAAAGTTTCCTATATAAGGAACCCAGCAGGTTGCATCAAGTCACTGACTAGTGTCAGAGTCTTTACAGCAATCCTCATACTAAGCAAGCATGTAGCGACAACAGGTAAACTAGTAGTAGCACATTCCATGTTAAAGAAAGTAGAATGTTATCAGGAGAGGGAGCATGTTAAGTGGTTAGCGGCAGTGTGCTAGCCGATGGCCCCCACCTTGGGGGCACCACAGCTAAGCACATGGATGTAGCAGACAACCACTTGTCTTGAAGCGTGTTTCCAATTAGAACAGTCCATATGCTCATCTATTGGCTCTGCTACTTGCTAACGTGTGATTGTCCGTTCTTGACACCTGTGTACTTGACAGTTCTGCATACCTGACATTGCCTACAAGAGCCTCTAGGCGGTAGTTTTATCCATATTTTTTGTATACTTACTGTAAAGAGCTCCCCAATCCTCATGTTGGTTGTGTGAAATAACTGGGGCACAGATTATGAACTCAGCTGAAAAGTACATGAAGTACCAGAGAATATGGGCTGATATAAATGATCGCAAACAAATTACTTTGTTTTGGTGGAGCGATTTTGAGAATATAAGAGCGGCCGTGCGCAGGACGCAGCTGGAGTAATTGAGCCATTACCTCTCTGCTCATAGAATGCCCGCAAAGCTGAGTCCATAAATGACGTAATATATGTTTATTTATTTGGCAGACGCTTTTATCCAAAGCGACTTACAATTTATAACCTATAGGGCGTGTTGTGATCTGTGGGAGAAACCGGAGTACCTGGAGGAAATCCATGCATGCATGGGGAGAACACGCAACTCCACGCAGAAAGGCCGCAGCCAAGCAGAGTTTCGAACCTGCAACCTTCGTGCTGCGAGGCAACAGTGCTAACCACTGCGCCACCATGCAGCCTTTATATGTGGATACTGGATCTTTTTTCAGGCTTCCCCAAATTTGAATTTTTAGGAAACCCACATCTTGATTCTGGGTTTAAAAATGCATTGTAGTTACCGCGTTACTGACAATTTTACCGAGTAAATATTACCATTTTCTTTGCCTGTAATGCCTTACATTACCACATTACAGCAAAAATGCATTACAGTAATTAATGACTTTTGTACCGGGTTACTCCCAACACTAACTCTGGATAGACTAGCCTTTTAGATGCAGGCATGTTGAAGGCAGAGCAAGGGAGAGCCATCTTTACCGACTACCTCCCTCTACTCCCCCACTTCTCCAGATGGGCTAACATCAGATTTTAACCATAGGCCCTATCAAATAAAAATGTTTTAAGCCTAGTCTTAAAAGTAGACAAGGTGTCTGCCTCACGGACTAAAGCTGGGAGTTGGTTCCACAGGGGAGGAGCCTGATCGCTAAAAGATCTGCCCCTCATCCTATTTTTAGATATTCTAGGAACCACCAGTAAGCCTGCAGTCTGAGAGCGACGTGCTCTCTTAGGGACCACTGATGTATGATTGAGCTTGAATATTAATTAGTTATGGTAAATGGCCTTTATTTGTGTAGCACCTTTGATGGTTCTGCAACTCCCCAAGGTGCTTCACAAAACAATCAGTCATCCACCCCTTCACACGCTAGTGCGCCAGCTGCCCTGGTGGTGTGGCGCACCAACGGAAGCGAGCCTGCCAAGCACAACCGACACCAGTCCCCCCCCCCCCCCCCCGACCACCACCAGCAGTCAGGGTGGGTTAAGTGTCTTGCCCAAGGACTCAACAGCAGATTTCCCCTTAGTGTGTTGACTATTCTTCTGAAAGCCACTGGTGTTCCTCTGCTGATTGCTTTATTAAGTGTCAGAACAACTAATGACATGTTTATTTTTCTTGTTAATAATCCAGTTCTCTGTTGATTAACGGAGTCTAGATATTCATAACAACCTCTAGTGAGTGCAGATCACTGCCTTTTCCTATTTAAAACGAATCAAGAGCTTCAGATCAGTTTTATTCATGTAAAACACTAAAGTTTTTACCATCTCATATTTATTACCTGTAACATGTATATTTATTTATTCTCATATTGAAAATAAAACCCCCCAAAAACATCCATTCCAGCTTTAATTTCTGTTTCTGCTAGAGGTCTCCTTTGGTATATTCTTGATGTGAATACACATACGAATAGCAATGTTTATTTTCTAATCGAATTTCTGTTGAAAATAATTCAAATGTCTCAACAGAAAGCACAGATAGGTGGTAAAAAGCTCCTGACGGTGATATCTGAAGATAAGCAGTTAATTGAAGCTTCTTATCTTTCCTTTTTAAGGCAGCTTCAGATAATCTCCAACTCTTAGCACCCAACAGCTAATTAGACTTCCCACTGAAAGGCTGGAGGACGTGTGTGTGTGTGATAGGGTAAAGAAAACACACAGGTCCTTAGTGCTGTCGCTCGGCACCTCATCACTCAACACTCACAGATTAGCACTGAACAGTTTTGGAGGGTAAAAATTCTCCACACAAATCCAACTGGTGAAAGTTTCAGGCCGTACACCTCCAGCTTCAGCCCTCACCCCTAATAAAACTCCTCAGACACACCCGAGTTTAATTATAAAAGCACTCGCTAGAAAAACAAACACCCGTGGTCTGGGAATTGAATATTTATTTCACATTTCTGTGGTTTTTGGTTAAAACAGGGAGTGAGTACTCACTAAAGGTTCACCTAAAGTTTAATAAAAGGAATCTGAGCTGATTTTTCTGGGCCGTGTGGCTTTTGTCCTCCAAAACATTAGAAATATGCAGCAGCAGGGCACAGTTTTGTCTCCTAAAGAGAATAAAGACTCTGTCGGTCCAGTCAGACGGTCTGGTCTGTGTAATGATGATGCTGACGGTTTTATCTGAGGTGGTTTTGCGCCACCATCAGGCAGCCAGCTGGAATTACACCACACCTGAATCAGCTCAGAAAACATTCAATCTTCTTTTGTGACCGTTAAGGCACACGGGGATTTCCCTCCGGAGCTGTCTGCAGGCCCGGTCTGCTACTCGACAACAACACTGAGCCGTCTTTGTTCTGCTTCTTAGGCTCAATCTTTCCTTCTCTTCTTAGATTTTACTGGTGTTTGATCTTCGCTGTCATGCTTCCTTTTCTTACCCGTCTTCTCATCTCTACTGAAGTTCTCCACATGACGGATCTCCATCTCCTCCTCCTCTTCTTTAAAATGCTTCTCCTTTTTCTTCTTCTTCTTCTCGCCAGCGCTCGTCTCGTCCCTTGTTCCGTTCAGCTCTGGTGTTGCGTTACAGTCCGGCTGGCTGGGAGGAATTCCTATTTCTCTCTCTGTCGTCTCCTCTTCTTCTTTAAGATGCTTCTCTTTTTTCTTTTTCTTCTTTTTCTTACCACCGTTTTTATCATCTGTTGTTATGTTCAGCTCTGGTGCAGTGTTGCTGTCCAACAGCTGACTGTCAGGAATTCCTATTTCTCCTTCTGTCTCCTCCTCTTTGATTTCATCTTTCTTCTTCTTCTTCTTCTTCTTTTTCCTGGGCGTGTCATCAGAGGACCCTTGGGTCGGCTCGGTGGAAGGTTCTGCATCCTGTGGTTCTGGCTTGTCCGTGGGAACTCTGGACTCTGAACTCTCACTAATAGCTAGCAGCTCCTGGACTCTGAAACACACAAAAACACAAGACTGAACAGATGGGTCAAAGGTTAGAGTCACAGAAATCTTTTCTACTGTGTCCTTTTGTAACGGCATCATTTTCTGCTACTAAACAAAACACATTAAATTTGTTTTGCTACAATTTTAAAATGTCACAGAGCAGCGAAGCATTTAGAGATCAACAGTTTTAACATAATAGAGATTTTGAAGGGGTCTGCCACCTGGGGCATGGCCCTGTAGGGTGTGAATGGCTCCCCCAAGGGGTGGCCAGAGGTGGCCATAACCACCCTTAGAAAATTCCTGTCTCTAAGGGCGAGCCCAGCCGCTCTTCGGAGAAAACTCATTTCGGCCGCTTGTATCCGTGATCTCGTTCTATTTGTCACTACCCAAAGCTCGTGACCATAGGTGAGGGTAGGAACGTAGACCGACTGGTAAATCGAGAGCTTCGCCTTCTGACTCAGCTCTCTCTTCATCACGACAGACCGGTACAACGCCCGCATCACTGCAGCTGCAGCACCAATCCACCTATCCATCTCACGCTCCAGTTTTCCCTCACTTGTGAACAAAACCCCGAGATACTTAAACTCCTCCACTTGGGGCAGGACCTCATACCTGACCCGAAGAAGGCATTCTACCCTTTTCCAAATCAAGACCATGGTCTCAGATTTAGAGGAGCCGATTCTCATCCCAGCTGCTTCACACTCGGCTGCGAACCGCTCCAGCGAATGCTGAAGATCACTTTCTGATGAAGACAACAGGACCACATCATCTGCAAAAAGCAGAGACCTGATCCTCAGGCCACCAAAACGGATGCCCCCAACACCTTGGCTGAGCCTAGAAATCCTGTCCATAAAGGTTATGAACAGAATCGGTGACAAAGGGCAGCCTTGGCGGAGTCCAACTCTCACTGGGAACGAGCCCGACTCACTGCCGGCAATGCGGACCAAGCTCTGACACCGGTCATACAGGGACCTAACAGCCCGTATCATCGAGCTGCGGCCTAAGGTATCCTGGTGCCAAGAGCACATATGGACACCTTTATGTCTGAGCATGGTGTTCATTATGGACAATCCATGACTGGCACAGAAGTCCAATAACAAAACACCACTCGAATTCAGATCGGGGGGCCATTCCTCCCAACCACACCTCTCCAGGTCTCACTGTCGTTGCCCACGTGAGCGTTAAAGTCCCCCAGCACAACGAGGGAGTCACCGGAAGGAGCGCTTTCCAGCACCCCCTCCAAGGTCTCCAAAAAGGGTGGGTAGTCTGAACTGTAGTTTGGTGCATAAGCACAGACCACAGTCAGAACCCGTCCCCCCACACGTAGGCTGAGGGAGGCTACCCTCTCATTCACTGGGGTAAACCCCAACGTTAAGGCACCAAGATGGGGGGCAACTAGTATGCCCACCCCTGCTCGGCACCTCTCAGTGGGAGCTACTCCAGAGTGGTAGAAAGTCCAACCCCTCGCAAGGAAACTGGTTCCAGAGCAAGAGCCGTGCGTTGAGGTGAGTCCGACTATATCTAGTCAGAACCTCTCAACCTCACACACCAACTCAGGCTCCTTCCCCACCAGAGGTGACATTCCATGTGCCAAGAGCCAGCTTCTGTAGCCGAGGATCAGACCGCCAAGGTCCCCGCCCTCGACTACCACCCGTCACACACTGCACCCGACCCATTTGGCCCCTCCCACGAGTGGTGAGCCCATGGGAAGGGTGACGCACGTTTCATCTTCGGGCTGTGTCCAGCTGGGCTCCATGGGTGAAAGCCCATGGCAGGCGCTCGCCAACGTGCCCCACCTCCAGGCCTGGCTCCAGAGGGGGGCCCCGGTGACCCACATCCGGGCAAGGGAACACGGTTTAAATAAAGGATAAAAGTAATGTATTTTTCTGAAATGTTTGTGAAATGTAAGTTAAATGTTTTGGATACATTTTTAAAAATAAAAACAAATAAAGGAACAATGCAACACATCGCCACAGGCTAAACTCTCCCAGAGTCACCACATGGACCAACTTGGTATGCCACTCCAAATATTTCTTTGGCTCCATCTGGCTACCCCATCAACATTTTCTGGAGGCACGCCTGTAGGGTGCAACTGAATGGTGTGACGTCACACTGCAGCGCCATTATGAATGAGATCACACAGAACAAAAACACATGAGTTTGTTTGTGGCCTTGTGTATTTAACAGTCTTAACACACTGGACTGGAGCTCGTTTATAATGAGTGTCTATGAAGCGAGTTATGGGTTTGCCCGTCTTGGACACACTGGGAGAGCTGTAGGTCATAGCAAAAATCAGTCACACTGAATGAAAAAGACAAAACAACCTGTGTTTTGATACATAATTCATGCCTGTACTCCAGAAAACGTGGGAGTTGCAACCACTTGTTTGAAATTTTTCATCTTTAACCATGTTCTTCTCACACTCTGAGGTCATGTGACCTGGAGGGATGAGAAGGAAAAACATCAAATTATAAACGCTAAATAAATGTTCCTACAGCCAAACCTTTCAGAGTACATTCATACATTTTTCTTCATTTGCAGGGATTTATGTCAGCTTTTAGCCGGCGTAACTCTTATTTAGCTACGACCTATAGCTCTCTCAGGACTCGGCCTAAAATGGCACAGAGCAGACCAAGCATTCTTATTTCCAGTATAACTGCTCGAAAGATCTAAAAATTTACTGAAAACCTAAACTCAGATTTTACAAAAACCGTACAAGATATCCAAAAGCTGTTTCAATTCGAGCCTCGCGTCTCGTGATTCTTTTACACTTTGACTGACGTTTCTAAGCCAAAGCGTTTTCATAAGCTTTCAAACAAACACAAGTTGATTAGGGATTCTCCGTTGTTTTCCAGCAAGTTTTTTCACGTAGATTTTTACTAATCATGTCCACATGGTAATAGGGTTGCAACAGTTATTGATTTTGGTGGTACAATCTAGGGCTGCTCAATTAATGAATTTTAATCCCAATTACGATCTGAGTTTTGAACGATTATAAAAACTAAACAAGCCGATTATTTGCTCCTCCCACTTGCGCTGCCCTGAGTTGCAAATGAAGCGCTCCTCCCACAGTGTTGCCAACTTAGCGACTTTGACACAATTTCGAACAGCTTTTCAGACCCCCTTCTTGACTTTTTAAATCTTAAAAGTACCTAGCGAACACCTCAGAATCATCTCTGGTAACCCTTAGCTACTTTCTGGATAACTGTCATTGACATTTCCTGCAGGTTAGCTAAACACCCCGCCTGCGCTCCGGACCGTTCTTCAGGACATTAGGAAAGGGAATGATGTAGTGATGTGTCAGTCGCTAAAGAAACTGCTCTCAGAGCCGGCTCCCTGTTGGAGTAACCAGAGTGAGTGACACACACACACATACCTGCGGGCTCCTGAGCCGATAAAAATGGCTAAATGTGCCCGTGCGGCACGCTAAACACACGTGCAGCTTGCCCCTGATTGTTGTGAGACCGGGTTGGGGGGTGGGGGGTGCAGCTTTGGTTGGGACAATTATTACGTTAACTGATGGACCTGTAAATAAATAGTTTATAAATAAGGTAGAAATAAGTTCCTCACGCTAATAAATAATTAATCTCTCTGAGGACACGGTGCTAGTGCACTCTCCTACAGCACCTTGACACGACTAAATACATATTATGCAACATTTTGTGAACATCAATTTATTTGCATTAATTTGTTATAAATGCCACTGTATAATTCTTGCTGTCAGTATTTGCAAGATATTGGTATTTGGGTCTGTACTGTTAGACTTACATGAGTTAAACCAAGGTCTATAGCCCTTGGGTCATAGACTATGAGCTATAGGTATATTGGTCTTTTTATACTGGGAATCAGGAGTTATTTTAGTGATCATCTTGTTTCTTATTTATTTTTGTCCTGATTGTGCCCTGAGCAATTTTATGACAGAATAAAAACAAATAAAATCAACATAAATTGAAAAATCGTCCTAAATAATCGAGATCTCAATTTCAGTCACCATAATCGTGATTATTATTTTTGCCATAATCGAGCAGCCCTTGTACAATTATAGTCTGAGAAATAATCGCGGTTTCACGATTACGATTATTTTACATAATTGCTTTCACATCTGTATTAACACGTATAACTCACACACACATTCTATAATGTATCGATAAAAGGCATGATTACATTCTATAAAGGTTTTGAATCCCTGAAAGATCTGTTGTTTCTTTTCAGAGATTTGTCTTAGAAAAATTCACTCTGATGTTTTACCTCCACAGATAAAAGAAGGAAAGAAAACAATCATTTATATAGCGCCTCTCAAGATAAAAATGACATAAGCCTGGAGGAGTTCTGCTGCGTGGTGGATTTTCTAATAGGGTTGCAACTAACGACTATTTTAACAGTCGACTAGCCACAGACTACTGAAACGATTAGTCGACTAATCGGATAATTATTACACTTTTCTTAAATTTAGCACGAGACTCGCTGATCTTTGACCGCGGTGGACCAGCAAAGCCTGATATCCTCGGCTTACCTAGTTATAATTTCAATACAAAGCAGGTCGGAGGTGCCTTCATGTTTAAATTGCTCTACCTCGTTTTCTTGCTAAAAACGCCCAGAAATCTCTGTTAGCTTTGGGTTAGCATGTAGCTAATGACCTGCTGATCTCTGACCGTGGAGAATGAGCTGATCTAAAAGGCCAGGGCTCCTGATCGCAGCGGTTTGGCTCTGCTTGTAGTTTAAAAGTCCCAGTCCATATTAGATCTCCAAAGCCGACCAGCACGACTACAGCCTCACACACAAGCCGGTCGGCTGTGAGAGTGGGCTACCCCACGGTCCCCGGAGCCCTTCTTAACTTCTTGGGTTAGCTAGTAGCCATATTGGTCACAATCCCTGTTGGGAACCTCCCATTTTTGGCTTCAACCTGCTCCCTGGTGGAGCAACAGGTGGGCTATGTTCATATTTTTATATGACGATGATTTCTGTCCATTTAAAATAACAAATAAAAACGTGAAGTTACATTTGGATGGCTGACTTCGTGTATCCTACCATTATTGATAATTTAATGTTCATGAATAATCTGTTTAATTGGTGAGGTCATTAGCAGACATATGAAGAAGTTTTACTTTTTAAAACTCCTAACCCCATTTCACATGTGGGACTATCGGATTCTGTTTCCTTAACAAGAGCAAGACAAAAAGACAAAAGCCTGGGAACTGATGTAACTTCAGTTTTCTGTTTTAAATGTAAATGAAAACAATAACGTGACTTTGACACTGAACCCAGGTGGAAACAGGAACTGATAACATATAAGAAACTAGGGCTGGGCGATATACCGATATTTTTAAAATATCGGTATAATTTTTAAACAAGATATAAGATGACTTTATACCTTTATAACTGGTCAAACTGCTATGCTAGTGACATGTTGCTCCGTCTCTAAGGGGTTATTACATGTATTCTCTCAAGTTTGCTCAATCTGAGAGCCTCTGGGTAAATGTGCTGGTCTAAACTTAGCATGTGGCGTTCTGGTTTTTAATTATTTGGGGACGTTCAACGCCAACGGAGTTCTGTTTTCCGTCCTGCTTGTGTGGAGAGACGAGTCAAACCCCTCCCTCCCCTGTGTAATGAGGAAACATCTACGGAAAGCCGGAGTGGGCAAATTACTTCAAACATATAGTAAGGGTTTGAATAGTAAACTATAGGGTTAACGTTTTATTTTGAAGGCGAGCTCAACGGGTGAGAAATGTTGCTCCGGGTTTTCTGCTGTGGTTTGTTATGCTAATAAATACTCCCGTTACGAGCAATTCTGTTGAAAAAGTTAAGAGTTTGTAAGGCGTGGGTTACGGCGACAGTAGCTCAAATATATTACTCATAAAAGAGCAACCAGAGACTCTGAGTCATTACAGTATAATCGCTGATATGAGTCAACACTGATAGATTCCAGCCATGTTTGCCCTGATAACTAATAACTCTATGGTGCATGACCCATGTGACCTTCAGTAGATGCAATTGCATCATCTACCTGAATCCTCTTGCAAAGGCTTACGTCTCGGCCTGGCCGCTCCGGTCATCACAGGATCGTCGGCTAGCAGTGCCTACACCACGCTCAGGACAATCCAGGCTCTTCTCATGCATCGTTCCACAAATGTGGAATGACCTTCCAAGCACTACCAGAACAGCGGCTTCTTTTTCAATTTTCAAGAAACTCCTGAAGACCCAGCTCTTCAGAGAGCATCTTCTAAACTAGCACCTTGCCTGCACCCGTCCCTCCCTCTAACGTCCACTCCTTTGTTCCCTCCTCTCCATGACTGATGTCAATGTTGTTGTTGTTATTGTTGTTGTTAGCCTCAAGGGCTACATGCCGATTATCACTTGTAAGTCGCTTTGGACAAAAGCGTCTGCTAAATACATAAACATCATCATAAATTTAGCCTAACATGATAGATTTTTGTTATGGACAAGAAATAAACGATATGGGCCACCTCTAGATGAAATCTAAATCATTTTACATTACTAATAAATATATAATAAAAAAGTCCCTGTGGGACATTTGATACACCTCTAGCTCTCAACTGTGTACGTGTGTGAGTGTGTGTGTGTGTGTGTGTGTGTGTGTGTGTGTGTGTGTGTGTGTGTGTGTGTGTGTGTGTGAGTGTGTGTGTTAGCAGACAGTTGTACCAGTGTTTCTAAAGCTCAGACTGGTTGAGAATAGGCACTAAGGTTAAAGTTGGACAAGAATCAATACATTTTTATGCATTTAATCTACTGATGTATGTTTATAATTTCTCAAGACAGCTTGAAGTGAGTTAACTTGGAAATACTTTACAGGAGGAAAAATATTGAGATATACATCGTATATCGGAATTCAGCTAAAAGATAGAGGAATAAGTTTGGGTCCATATCGCCCAGCCCTAAAACAAACCATCAACTCAGCATCAGCACCTACTCACCTGGTCCGGCCCAGCTGTCCCCTGATCAGCAGAACTCCTGCAGCATCAGCATCGAGCGCGGTCACCTTAAACTCCAGCTCTGTCCCGACTTTAGGACCCGCATCCCTCCAGGTCTCTATGGACACCAGAGTTGGCCTGGGAATGCTGGCATTGAAACAACTGTGCACGAGGCAGCCAACATGGCTCACTCCCAGTTTATTCACTTTACCCTGTAGAAAACAAACCAACGACAGCAATTGGTGCTACTGAGATGACTTCTGATTAATTCTGTCCATCTTACCAGGAGTTTCTGTCCCCTTTTGGGCTGAAATACAATGAAGCTGGCTTCTATGTCCATGTGGATGTAGCCGCTGTCATTGTAGATGTCCCCATTTCTTCCCAAAATCCTAATGTTGTCATAGGCTAACAGCACTCCATTCAAACTGGAAGACACAAAACCAACAGCTTTAACTGGAACGGGAATACCAGCAGTTTTCCAAGCATACTATGACACAATCCTGACTCCATCTTTGACTTGAGCTCAAATAAACCTCCTGATGTTGAAGATATGTTACGCTGCTGATTCCAGTTGTTTAAAAAAAAGATCAAATAGTTCATTTAAAACACAAAGAATACACCTTTAGCTGTCAGCTGACTCCCATAAAATGCAAGCACAGTGATTAAATCCAGCAATCCCGCCTGTGCTCGTCTTTCTACCTCTGGGAAAACTTCAGCAGCTCTCCGTCCAGCTCCTCCTGGATGCCAGTCTTCTTCTTGTTCAAGTACTGCGGCGCCAGAGCGACATGTCTCCGGTGGGAGTTCAGCACCAGACACGAGTACGGCACTGGCAGGAGCTCCGACGCGGCCGCGAAGGAGGGGACCACGCAGCCCGCATCTCTGTCCGGAGCAGAGGACGGATTCACCGGGGCGCCAGCAGCGCTCATATTGTTGGACAAGTCCACATGTTTTGGATCCTCCACAGCATGCTCGAAGTTCGCCATGCTGCCAGAGGACCGGAAGACAAACAACCGCGACTTTCGTGTTGAAGTTAGCGACTAAACCTTTATGCTGCCCCCTGCTGGCTCGGAGGTTCACTGGAGCAGCGCTCTTTGGGAGACCGTGAGCTAATAAGTACAAAAGATGTATTATATAGAAGATATTCAATTTTGTGATGATAAATGCAACAATAAGTTTCTAAGATCTTCATTAAGGAATCTTTTTGATCCAAACTTACTTAGACGTAATTACATATTAAAAGATTTCCAAAGGGAAGAAACTGAAAAAATAAGAAGTGATTATATCACCTTCCCTATCGCTCCTAAAGGGAAAGAAGTCCAATTTTAATTTTTGAACAAAATTTACCCAACCAATAGACTCCTTGGGGATAGATTCAATATAGAAGCTGGTAATTGTGTATTTTGTGAAACAGAAGAGGAGGACTTAGACCATCTATTTTTTGTGCAATTTTATACAAATACTTTGGTTAGATTTTCATGCCTGGCTTTGTTCTAGTGGGATTCAAATTGCCCCATTTACCTTAAATATGATAATGTTTGGAGTGTTTTTGAAAGAAAAGAAAGTTAGTTATGGTGTTAATGTGTTATTAATTTTGTGTAAACAATTTATACATAAATGTCGATTTTTTAAGACCAAACCAACACTAGCCTATTGGAAAAACGACTTAAAATTATTAGTTAAATCTTTGAATTTAGTTAAAAAGAAAAAGGCTGGTTTGTTATTTCCTTTGTAGAAGATTTTGAGTTAGTAAGTTAATAACCTGTTAATTATGTGACCCCATCTTTAGATTTTCTTTTTTTTCCATATACATGAAAATGTTGAATATGCATGTAATGATTATCTTTTGAATATATAATGTAAGGTGCATTTTGTTTGTATGTTATCTTCTAAATAAATAAATAAATAAAGTACAAAAGATGTATTTACGCTGGTGCTCTCCACGTGTTAACAGTGCTATACTTACAGTGTTGCCATGTGTTGGATTCACAAGCTGATCTCTCTGTATTTCATAAATAATGTAAAAGAAAGTAAAACTAAAATAGTGACATTCCTGTTTTGAAACCCAGACTCAACAAAACATATTTTGTTTTTAACTAATCAGATGATGAGATATAAATCTGCTTTATGTGAATGATTGACATATTTTAAATGGATCAGTACATAACAGCTAAGTCAGTCCCTGACCCTGAGCCCTCCCCAGAGCCTAAGCAGCAATGCCATTTTTTCGTAGTGTTCAGCTATTTTGTCATAAATGAACAAATACTTCCAAAAACTACAGAATGTTCTGATTTCAGGTGAGGCATTGTAGCTGACCCACCTGTGAGAGAAAAACTGTAAGGCTTGTCTTCGGCACTCAGACATCAGTTCTGATTGTTTTTCAGCCGGACAGGACACGGCGAAGAACTGTCTCAGAGATCAACGTTTAATCTCCGGACTAAAGTTAAAAAACTATTTAGTCTAACTTTAATTAGAGTCCACAGCAGGTTTAGCACCTTTCAGTTTGGCAGGTTTACATGGTTCAGTGAGGAGTTTTAAATCAAAGTAACTCATCTTTATGTTTAGTTTGTTTAGAGGGTAACAGCATTATTAGAGCTAAATAATAACATAAGCATTATCACTGATCTGATGCACTAAACCCATGCACTCTCATTATATAAGCTTTAGATCATGCACAGATACATCTGGAAAGGGCATTGATTCTGCATCCTCTTCACATTAAAACCATTAGGGTGACCTGGGGTGTCCGCTAGTGTAACACACACACACACACACACACACACACACACACACACACACACACACACACACACACACACACACACACACACACACACACACACACACACACACACACACACACACACACACACACACACACACAGTTCTAATGTTGCTCTTTTCTGACAGCGCAGCACCACAGGAGGTGCCATGATCAGCTTTCCTCCCTGTATCCCTGATGGGGTCGACTGCAGATCCTGATGCTCTCAGGGGTGCTGTGGCCCCCCTCTCCTGTCCGTTGTCATGGTGATAACCAGTGAAGTGGTTTCCTGAACAGCAAGAGTGCCTAGCAGTTTCTGCTGTGATGGGAAACAGCTAACACACACACACACACACACACACACACACACACACACACACACACACACACACACACACACACACACACACACACACACACACACACACACACACACACACACACACACACACACACACACACACACACACACACACACTTTCACATGCTGATGGTTGATGTGGACTGTCAGGAGGTGTTGGCAGGTGAAGGGTCTGTTCAAGAACACAATGACAGAGACAGAAAATCAGAGTTCAAACCAGAAACCCACCGGTTACAGGACAAGCCTCCACCTCCTGAGCCACTGTCACCCTGTGCATCTCCTCACCTTGTCTCCAAAGCTGAGGCTAACTACCGTTGAGAGGTAAATGTAGTGCTTTAAGCTTAATATATTACCTTTACTCATGACCAATAAGCTGTGATACTCTACGTAAATATAGAATATCAACCTGCTTGGTCTTTGAGTGTTTAATCAGCAGATTCTAGGATTCTTTGCTTGTTCGGGGATCAAACACACTTCGTCTTACTTCAAGGAGAGGGTCAAGTTTATAAAAAGTAAGCAATTTATTTTCTAAACAATTAAAAACATGACAACTAGGAAACACTTAGGTGATGAATACATCCGAGTGGATGGAATGTGAGGCGTGATGAAGTATGAATGTGATGTTATCAGAACCTTCATATCTGGAGAAGCGAGTTCTGAGTGGAAGTGAATTTGGTTTGCTCTAAACTAATTGATGGTTTCCAAAACCACATCAGACACAATCTTGTGAGTCCACGTACCCGTTCTGGAGACCCCCGATTGGATCCGAGATATCAGGGAGTCTTGTGACCCCAGTGCCTCGAGGTTAGTAGGATAATCGAGAGGCGACCAAGTCAGTCCTGAGATGTCTCCGGGTTGCACAGTTGTTTGCGTCTTAGGAATAACTCTTAAGGAATTGGAGCTGTCTCACCTTGGTTCTGAAGGAACCGGTTGCGGCGTCAGCTGTAGATGCGATGGTTAGCGTTTCCCTCCGATGGCCAGTCGAAGTTATGCTCACAACTTGAATGCTTGAACGCTGAATTGGAAAGCTGGAGTGCTGAATCACTCAGCAACTGATTCCGTTTTTAATATTCTCATATTATGATTTGTGTGGCCAATCGGAGTTGGACATGTTAAGAGGAGTTTACCACCAAACCTCAGACATCATCTGATTTGTAGGTAAGAAAATACCGATGTGTCTGCAATTACATTAACCTTGGGTCATGAGGAGCTATGCAGTGTAGAGAATGATTCACTTGTTAAATCCAACATTCCTGATCGTCATATATAAACCTTTCAATGTAATAATATATTCATTTCACAGATTAATCAAAACACTTCATTGAGAATTCATATAACATTTGTTCATCAACCAAATTATTATGTTATGATTATTGAACTTATGAGTTGTAAAAGTTCTTCTGTCTTGTGCTGTGAATAAAAACCAGTCTTAGATAAGAGTGAGCCTGGAAGGACCTTGAAGCAACAGCCTCTTCTGTAGATTAAAGCTCCAGTTGCAGACTTATGTCTCCAAATGACTGATACTGAAGAGCTGACCTGTAGATTGAAAAACAGACCATTTCCGGAGGTTGCGCTACCCCACTACTCTGGAGGAAGCTCATCACATGTCCTAGATCAGGTTTTATTTTGGCATTTATGAGTGTTGAAAAGTTGATAGACCAGTAAATCTGGAGCACCAGCTCAGCTCCATCTTTACCCTGATAAGTCTACTCTGCACTCTTATGACTCTTCTCAAAGACCCAATCTGTTTGGTCCATCTCTGGCTCTTTCCTACTGTTACTTGTCAAGAAGACACTGAAACCTTCCAGTTTGAGGCAGAGACTCACTTCCCAACACACAACCTGTTGCTAGTCGGGAATCAGGGCTTCAGATCTCTCAGGACACTTGGCTGTAACCCAACACAGTGCTGATGGCTCCAACAAAGCATGGAGGAGATCCTGAGGTTCTAAAACCAGTCCCCATCCTCGCCTATACTATGTTTTGACATCCTGTCCACAAATAAAACAAAAAGGATCAGGGACAATAGGCAGCTTCGGTGGAATCCTGCCCAAAGTCAGCGGGAATGTTGTTTCCAACATCCTAGAATAACTGAGGCTGAGGAGTTTGATCCATCAATAGTGGGAACATACCCATGGCCCACATTTTTGAAAATAAATAAATAAATAAAGCATCCGAGGATCAACCCGGTTACTGCCACCAGAAAGCTCTGCATGCTTAAATGACTCAACTCCTCCAAAATCCTCAGACTCTGCCAACTCAGCAGAAAAAAACATAACTATCGGATTTGGGAGCATTCCTTTAACTGCCCAACAACATTCCCAGGCTGGGTCAGCAGTTCTCCGCCCAAACCACCAAAATAAATCTCTCCAATTAAGTTTGAAAATGTCACAGACAGAAAAACAAAAGCCTGTCAGATTAGCGACACTTTATTTAAATGACCTTTATAAGAAGCATTATAAAAATACTTTATAGATATACAATCATTGCTACAGTACATCACACCACTAAATGTTCATATCAAAGCATTTCATTATCATACGGTTCGTATGATTTACTTCTGACCATCTCGGTCGCCATTCCATGAACTAGACAGAGAAGCTGGATAAGGACGAGGAGATAGCGTTAGCTGCATGCCTAGGCTGGGCTCATCACTCTGAGGACTCTGGCCCAGTGAAAGCCATGCCTTCAGGCGGCTTTGTCACTCAAACAGTTCAACATCCCTGCTTTGCTTTGAGGTGTAGAGTAGGTCTCTGAATCCATGTTTGCATAATACTGAAATTCAGAAGAATAAAAGCTCTCCTAGTTCTTCCTCCAGTGGAAGGAAAACAACCATTCTGTGGGCTCCCTTCAGTCAGGATCCAGGTTTTGGGATATGTGTGAGCTACTAGCTCAGAATCTTTCTGTTTCTGTGAGCAGGATATTGTCACGGTGATGCTGTGGTGTTTCCATTGTAAGAGACCTGAGGAATGCCGTTACTGGAGTTGTCCAGGATCTCCTGGAAAAGACACACAAGATGAACTTAACATCATACTTCATGTTTGTCAGAGATAAAGCTTCTGAAATCCTTTCCCCCTACTTTTTCAGCCATCTCATGTGAATGATGCAGTGAGTGCTCTCTCTCCATGAACATCCGCTGCTGCTCGGAGCTTGCCAGTCGACAGGTGAGCCACGTGGATAAGGTACAGGAAGAGATCCCTGGAGTAAACAGGAATTCTTACACAGAAACCTACAGTTCACCGAGGATAGATCCTACTGTCATGTACCCGGGCAGAGGTGGGTGACACCATCTCCACTCTAACCATGATTGAGCTGATTTCCCACAGGTGAGGAGTGGAGGGGGCGGCAGCTGCAGGAGATCCCAGTCAGGAACGCGGGTTTAAAAGGAGGATGGAGACACCTCACTACGCCGGATGATTGCACCAGTTTAGGTAGCCCCAGCTCTTCGTACTCGTTCTTGTTTACTCACTTTGTCTCGTTATTGGATACTTGGATTTTGAACTCGGACGTTTTTGGATTATCCCTTACGCCTGGTGTTTGTTTCCCTCCCTTCAGGATCCTCACTCCACCTGCTTCCCGCTCGCTGTTTTTGTACTCTGGATTCATACACCACATCCCATCCTCCTCTGTTGTTCCTGTTGGCCCCCCTCTGAGACCTCACCCATCCCGGATCGCTCACCCTCTGCCCAGCGCTCACCTCGGCTCCCCCGCCTCCCTCATTCATCTCGAGAGCTACTTGGACTCGAGCTGCACCGCTCACACCCACATGACTTCCCTGTGCTATTTTTGTTCCCGTTTTATAATAAAGAACTTTACTATTACTCAATTTGCCCGACGAGTATTGATTCTGCATGTTTTGGGTTAGACACCACGAGTCATGACACCTACATCTTTTTGCAAACCACATTTCCTCTCAATGTAGAGGAGCAGCGGGTCTACTTCGAGCCTTCCTTGTATCCATCCATCCGTCTTCTGAACCCGCTTTGTCCACGCGGGGTCGTGGGGGTGGGGGTTGGGGGTTGGGGGGGGCTGGTGCCTATCTCCAGCAGTCAATGGGCAATCAGGCAGGGTACACCCTGGACAGAGAGTCAGTCCATCGCAGGGCAGCACAGAGACACACAGGACAAACAATCACACACACACACACACACACACACACACACACACACACACACACACACACACACACACACACACACACACACACACACACACACACACACACACACACACACACACACACACACACACACCTAAGGACAATTTAGACAGACCAATCAAAATAACAGTCATGTTTTTGGACTGTGGGAGGAAGCTGGAGTACTCGGAGAGAACCCACGCATGCACAGGGAGAACATGCAAACTCCATGCAAGATCCCAGGCCGGGAATCGAACCCAAGACCTTCTCGCTGCAAGGCAACAGCTCAAACCACTGCACCACTGTGCAGCCCCTGCTTGTATCCATCATATCATTCTGTCAGTCACCACCCAAAGCTCATGACCATAGATGAGGAGGGTAAATGGCCTGTGTTTGGCATAGCACCTTCTGTAATCCTGGAACCCCCCAAGGTGCTTTACAACACAATCAGTCATTCACTCATTCACACACACATTCACATGCTGGTGGTGATGAGCTACAGCTGCCCTGGGGCGCTGAGTCAGAGGCGAGGCTGCTATACACAGGTGTCACCATTCCCTCCGACCACCGCCAGCAGGCGAGGGAGGTTAAGTGTCTTGCCCAAGGACACAATGACAGCGACAGACTGAGAGGGGCTTGAACCACCTCAGGCAGCTGGCGAAAATAAAGCCAACTCTTTCACGGCAGCACTTCGAGACAGTGATCCACGCCTTTGTTACCACTCGGCTGGATTACTGTAACGCACTCTATATTGGGGTCAGTGCATCTCATATGAGTCATCCACAGAGGGTGCAAAATGCCGCAGCCCGTCTTTTAACCGGCACTCCAAAGTTTGAGCACATTTCCCCTGTTTTAGCTTCCCTTCACTGGCTGCCCATTTCTTTTAGGATTCATTTTAAAATTCTTTTGTTTGCTTTTAAATGTCTCCATGGCCTTGCACCTTCTTATCTCTCTGTCCTGTTACAGCCTTACACACCCTCCTGCTCTCTCAGGTCAGCTGATCAGCTGCTCCTGAATGTACCCAGGACTGGGCGTAAACTTAGAGGAGATCGCGCCTTTGCTGTAGCAGCTCCTAAACTGTGGAATGAGCTTCCTTTAGTGATAAGACAGGCCAGTTCCTTACCTCTTAGGTGTGTTCTTGCTGTGTCGTGGTTCTAATTCCATGCTTTCGTTCTTTTTAAACACAGAAACAGTTTTGTTTACCTGTTTTGTAGCTACAGTTTCGCCGACGGGATCAGTTCCTTACCTGTTTTTAAGTCACTCTTGAAAACACACCTCTTTACTCTTGCTTTTGACACCATGTGAGATGTCAGTTACTATTTTATTTTATTTTATTTTTTTAGTTTTGACTTATTTTAGCTGTTTTTGTGTGTTTCAATGCTGTTTTTATCTAGTTTTTATTCTTATTATTGGGCTGTTTTAATTTGATGTCTCCTGTGTTTTATTTATTTCTCTTAGCTGCTTTCTGTTTATTTTATTGTTTTAATGTATTTTCTGTACAGCACTTTGTTCCTGTGCTGGGTGTTTTAAAGTGCTTTATAAATAAATGAACTGAACTGAACCTTCCGATTGCAGGGTGAGCACCTAACTCCTGTGCCACCGTCACCCCGAGGGTAGGAACATAGATTGACAGGTAAATCGAGAGCTTCGTCTTTTGGCTCAGCTCTCTCTACACCACGACTGACCGGTAAAACACCCACGTCGTTATAAAAATCCTGTCCTTTTCCGACCCACGACCATGATCTCAGATTTAGAGGAACTGATTCTCATCCAGCTTCTTCACATTCAGCAAGAACCACCCCAGCGAAAGCTGGAGATCACGTTCCGATGAAGCCAACAGGACCACATCATCTGCAAAGAGCAGACACCTGATCCTTAGGCAACCCAAACCGATCTCCTCAACTCCTTTGCTGTGCCTAGAAATCCTGCTGCATTATCCAAGTGATTACAAATGAGTCACTTTGCAATCGGAGCAAGTTTGAAATGTGGAAGTGTGGGATTTTTACTCATACCCAGAAACACACTGAGAGATGGCTTCAATAAGACATTTCAGTTGTGTCTCATTGCATCACAAAAGACTGTTTTCACACAGTTTGGTTTGGTTTTAGACCACTTACCCAGGCAAGCTAGAGTCATAGCAGCCAGGTGGATGGTCTGCATCGGGTTCGGCCGTTTGCTCAGCGCCCGAACAAACTGAAAGTTCAGAATCCCAGCAATCAGCCCGCAGATGCAGCAAGCTGAGAAAAGGATCATCTGAAACACACAGACATTTACAACATAATGCCCAGCCTAATGAAAATAGATGGACTCATATCACAGTAAACAAACCGCCCAAATGTGATGAGACAGGGGCTGTGAAATCCATCGTTTAGCTGTTTTTGGACAGCTACTACCACAGTGATGTGTATCAATCCCAACAAATCTCATCCTATATTAGACAATCAGATTCCTCTCCAAGCCGGCAAGATCGTTCAGGTAAATTGAACTGCCTGTGAACACAGCTGCATCGCTTGCTGCATTTGATATCCCTGATTTTTGCTAGTGAGATTTCACTTCAATGAACCAATCAAAAGCTACTGATGACCTCATGTTGAACTTTAGTGATCAACAAGAGAACCCGAAATTTTACCTGAGAATTAAAGAAATCCAAAAGAACCAAAGAGTTCCATTAGAATAGAATAGAACAGACTTTATTGATCTTCATTTGCTAGAGCAGCACAAAAACTTAGAGAAAAGGAAGAAGAAAAATAATAACAAGATTACAGGTAAACACACAAAGCCAGTAAGCTACTATTGTAACCTTCAACCACTAAAAACAAAACTTTTGTTTCCAGAACTATGCAGCATAAAGGACACAGACACACTAATGAACATCTGGAATTGCATGAGTATTGAGCACATACTGAATATTGCATCAGTGGCATGTCCAGATCTTTTGAAATGGTGTGGCCCAGGTGAGGCGCTACTTTGTGCATATGTGGCACCAGTGGTTGTGCTTTTTTGTTTTACCTCAAGCCTTTTGTGGACAATGAAAAGCCTATTTAAAGGGAATTCAGTGTGGTGACACCTGGGGTGACCAATCAGATTCCAAGGTTGGCATGTGCTACCCCAGGCCACTCCCCGAACTCGCCCCTGTATTGCATTGATGTTATTGTGTAACGAGAGAATGCCAGTACCAGTTAAAGTGAGGAGTTACACACTTACTGCAGAGGCCAGAGGGCATGAATGACCCGTTTTACATCTGGGATGTCTCAGTCTGCTAATGAAGGAGCTGTCCATGGCCTCCACAGTGGGATGCAGTTGGTGGGAGGGGTTTTTCATTTTCACCACCATCCTCCCATCACCCATTTCCTCAATTCAGGAGGTGCAGGTGGCTTTGATCCTTCTAAAGCTGTTTTCCAGGAATGCTACTCAGAGCAACTCGCACTGATGCAGCTCGGCCCGACCACTGTTTCCAAGGGCACAGTTTGGTGTTTTCCCTCTACTTTCTCCCCCTTTTTTAGTCCCTGCTCCTTTCAGGTACCTGGGAGCGCTGAATCGGGCTGCCATCGAGATTCTGGCCGCTGAACGGCTAGGGGGCGGAGTCACTGGTTTCTCCTGAGTTTGTTGCCTTGTGTTTCACTGCCTGCAGTCACTTCCTGGTAAAACTGAGCCAGATGTCCAGCAACACCACCATTTTTCAGCTGAGTTGTGTTTCTGTGGAGCAAACAGGTTACCTTACACTGTTTACTGATCACCTCATGCAATTTTGTCACGAGTAAACCTTTGTGCAGAAAACAAGATGTGGACAAGCTAAAAACAGTTCTTTGGTGACTAAAACATGACGACACATACGGGAGTTTTTGTTGACGAGACAAAAATGATGCTCAAAAGGCACATTTCTGCCTGCCTCACAAAAACTAAAAGTAACGCTGCTGCTGCTGCAGCTTGGATGCATTCTGCCCAGCAGACCTGCTCAGTGCTTCCCTTCTGTGGGAACACACATTGCTAACAACAGCCACTCACTGAGGAAGTAAATGATAACAACTGCGGGCGATGAGGTGACTTTTGAATATTTTCATAATATTTACATGTTTCCTGTCCTTTCTGAAAAGTTATGAGTTGGGGCAGATAAATTAATGAAATGACTCGTTTAGTGTATTTAAGATCTGAAATAAGTCAGGAAATATTAAAAAAATTATGTTGATTAATTAATTATTAAATCACTTTAGGGAGAACATTCATTGTCGATCACACAGAATATGACTGTAAACCTGTAGATTTAAAGAAATAATTTGATGAGACCAAACTGAGAATAATTTTGTTAAAAGGAGTAAAAGTCTCGTCTCCTGCGTTAGACCTTGGAGTTGCATCTTCCTGTAAACATGGGCAGAACAGAAGTCAGGCGATGGAATAGTTTTGACTAACTTCTGAAACAACAAGGTTAGAAGCTGGGTGTTTTCTGGGTTGGAGACCAGACAGTTAAGATGTGGCAGACCGTCTGCTTACCTACGACGTTACTGTGGACAAATGACTTTGTTAGATATTTCCGTTACAGTTGACTAAAACTGTCTAAGACTAAAATGCTTTTTTGTTATAAAAGCCATTTTTAAAAGCAATGCCATCAATATGCCACAACACTGTGACCATGTGACTAAGATGCCTGTCAAAAACAACACTGACTCTGTTGATTTCTATTGCATGTTTGTCTGCACTGCAGGTAGTCTCTCAGTATGGATGCCGTTAGTGCCTCCAACCACACAGAAAAGGAGCAGCTCGGGTTTCAGTTGTAAAATGGAGAAGTGTGGAAATGGGCAGGCAGGGGTACAGGGAGAAACCCACCTAATGCAATCACCAGCCCACAGGCAGAAAGAGGCAGCGGGAAATGGCGGAAGATGAGTAGAGGAAGATGGAGCGACAGAGAAGGAGAGGGAGAGAGAGCTCTGAAATCATAAAGGATACTGGAGAGAAAGTAGGAGATGAGCAAGGGGAAAGACAAAAGCATAGGACAGAAAAGCAGAGACAGAGAGGTGTCTCTGTTACAGCAGATTGGACTGACATTGATCCATCATTAGTTCCCAGCCTGCAGGAGACACAGAGTCAGGAAGAGAAACACAAGCAGCCGGAGACACGAAGCTCAAAAGAGTGACAGAAAGTGAAGTGAGGTGACAGCTTTTCTCCTGTGATTTCCTAAAAACTCTGTTTCAGAACACACACACACACACACACGCACGCACGCACGCACGCACGCACGCACGCACGCACGCACGCACACACACACACACACACACACAGTCATATGTTTACAGTGTCTTCAAGGCTTTATGTGTGTTGTAAATATTCCTAAATGAAGCAAACAGGGTTAGGAATTAAAACTCGGGTTTGGGGACAAACGTGATTTTTGAGAAATGGGAACATTAGAAAAAGTAAAAATTCGAACTTTCAGATAAACATAGTAGCGTTTAAAACTTACAATGAGAAATATTCATGAAGAACAGAAATTTTCAAACATTCAAAGAATAATTTACATTATTTTGTTATATGGAGTCCCACTGAGATGTTTGTTTAGCCCCCAGTTTATGCAGTAAACTTGTTTTTCTTTCAAAACCCTAAATGCGTCATTTTAGTGAACAAATCAAAGATTTCCTTCTAGAAATGTAACTGTTGCCTAAAAATAACGTAAACGTTACTTTTAGTATGATTTTCATTTTTTTTGTTTGAACACAAAAGTTTAATTAAACGTTATTTCTAATTGAAAAACCTGTATATTTGTTTTAGGGCATTTGGTGCGAGGTTAAATATGACATGTTCTAGTATCACTTCAACAGGATTCATAAAATCACACGGAAAGCTGTTTGTGCTTCAGATCTGTTCACTTTAACCCGGTCATTACTTTAGGATTTTAGTGAACTCTACAGAGACATGATAATCCCTGCTGATGCTGGATTATCTGAGGAATTTCCAAGGAACATCTGAAGCTCAAAAAGAAACTGAACCGGGAGACAGAAGGCCTCATGATCTGATGTTACTTGTTTCTTTCATATGAAACAAACCAGATTCTCTCTGCTGCACATTTACTAACTCCCAAAGTTCATATCAAGGTAAAATTATATATTTTGCTTGAACAGGAAAGTGATTTTGCTGCTAGGCTCTCAAACAGACATTAAAAGAAGGAGAAAAATAAACTTTTTTAAGGAAAAGAATAAAGATTCAGGTTATACTCACAATAAGACCTGTCCTCTTCCGAGCACACAAGACTCCACACACCCCACAGAGCAGAAACTGGAAAGGAGAAAAAACATCAGGGTTACAGTAATTAAAAGCCACAAAGCTTCCAGAGAGTTTATGTTTGAGATAATTAATGATCAGGAAACTCTGATAGTCTTATTTCCTTAATGCAGCCATGATAACAGGAGGGAGGAACCCGTTTCTCACGTCTTTTGTCCTTCTAAAAATAGCATGGTGGCACGGAGCCACGTTGTCCTGGTGGGAGTCATGCTGACTGAACTGGAGCAGCTGTGTGTGTTCTGCAGACTTCTGGATGGGACACAATACATGTGTTCTTCTGTTCCAGCTTTGAGCCTGTTGTGCTTTTACAAGAATTTAATGAAAACATAATTTCAGGATCTTATTGGTATGGTTGTATGAAGCTTAAATCCCGTTGCCTCACAGTGAGAAGGTTGTGGATTTAACCCTGGCTGTGGGGATTGTGTGTTAGCATGTGTTCCTGGTGCTCCAGTTTCCTCCCACAGATAAAACTGTACATGTTAGGTTCATCTGTAAGTGGCTTTAGAGAAAAGACAAACGTGGACTTTTTTTATAAATATATACACCTTTTTAAATTAAAATGTCCCAGAATTTCATTCTGATCTGTCAATAATTGATCATTTTATTAGTTCATGTGGCAGTATTTAGCACTGTTTTTCTCATCTCATTCCTGTAGTATTGTCTTTACAGAGGGAGGGAGGATACAAGTAAAGATGCAACAAGAGTCCTGTTGTTAAATAAAATAAAATAAAATAAAATAAAATAAAAATAAATAATACAATAAAATAAAATTTAAATCTTATTTGATTTAATTTGCACAAAATTCTGTTTTTGGGTGAAACAAAGTGAAAGAAATTGTGTTTTGGGGGATGTTCTCTCATATGAAACAAATTATGTTGTTTTTTTTTATTATTGTTTTTCTTTAAAGCGCAAGTCACCCCCTGCTGTTGCCTGGCAGACCAAGAGGGCGGAGCCGCTAACAAATATACACACACACAGGTTCACAACAGCATTGTGACATCATAATGTACCAGCTAACATCATACCTCTTAGCGAATAGGGGTGGCAGTTTTAAATTCAAATGTAGTGCAGAGTTTTTACCTGACGATGGCGCAACACTGACAGTTTTAGGCAGAATATTTAAAATTTAATTAAGATGCACTAAATTGTCAAATTATTGAATACACATGCCTACAGCATGATTAGACACTCGTTTATATATTTCATTAGCAAAAAAAGTTGATTTGGGGGTGACTTGTTCTTTAAATAAAATAGATTTTTAAAGCAAGTTCTGTCTAAAGGGAGGAGTCAGCGTTCAATAAGTTTACACTTATGCACACACCTTTTCAAACACAACATAGAATTGTCTCATTTAGACATGCTAATAAAGTAAAAAAAACTCTTCTGAAAGTTTTGTTCTCCCAGTTTGTAAAACACATAAAAGATGTTGGTTCTCAAATATCTGAACATTGCTCATTAGATAAGCACTTGTTTTCACAAAGAGCTCTGTGTCTACCAACAAACCCTTCATCATCTTGAAAAGACTCATTCAAAATATCAAGTCAAATAAATGTCATCATTTTAGTTAAAAAAAAATCCTAAAACATTGAACTAGATCAAGTTTTTTGGCTAAGAATAAAATGAATTATTTGAGACATTTATGAATATTTAATGAGAGGACATCAAACTTGCCTCAAAGACAAGCATAGATGCTGACTCAGCAGATGTTTCAACAACAAACCTTGCTGTAACAAACATCTGCTTTATTGTCTTCAGTTTTCTTTCTGATTTCAACTTGAGCAGATGCTCAGGTTCAAAACTAACTCTGGCTAATATCAGTGGAGGTTATTAATAACAGCTGCAGACGTTGAGCCACCATTCAGATTTCCAGTGAAATCAAGTTTCTCTTTAATGGGAGGAGGCAGCAGACTAAAGGGATGATTGGGCAAAAGAGCTTCGACGAGGAGCAACTTGATGAGCTGTTGTTATTATTATTATTAATAATAATAATAATAATAATAATAATAATAATAATAATAATAAAAACAATATTTGGGTCTAGGTGTGGGTGACTGCCTCTTTGATATTTTATTTTTCCTCACTTGGGTGTCTAATTTGTAAAAAAATTACTTCTGGGTTAATTTATGCAAAACAAGTTTGTCATAATAAAACAATTAAAAGCTTAACTTTAATGAAACAAAACAAGATTTAGAAAAGTTAATTTTCTGAGAAAAACATCTGCGTAGTTTCTCAGTTATTTTATCAGCATGTATAAGTTAAAGCTTTAACACGAAGCGTCAGTTACAGACTTACTTTCCCCTCCTGAAGCGGACAATAAAAGCACATTAGTCATTAGAAAACATTTAAATATCCTAAAATAGGATTTTTTTTCTTCGTTTTTATTTTCTCTAAATCAAACAAAGTTGAAAACCCCACTTTTCTAAAACCAGGAAGATTTTCACACAGCCTTCCAAAAGAGGTAAACAAACGTGAGGACAGTCACCTACACAGAGTCCGCTCCACACCGGAGAAGCGTCGCCCTGCTGGGGCTGGTGCTCCCCACGGACCCAGATGATGCACACCGCTCCCAGGGCGATGCTCGCCACACCCAGGCCCACTTCCACCAGGGAGAGCAGGAGCAGGCTCCACAGGATCTTGCGGCTGGAGCACATGATCCTGCCCCGAGCATCGCTCCAGCTCCGGCGCGAGGACGCAAGGGGAGAGGGGATCCCGCTTGTTGGTGGTCCGAGGGCGGCGCGGCTCCGCTGCTCGGTTCCCGGTAGGAAAAGATGAGTTTATAGATCCACGTAGAGGAGCAAGTCACAGAGGAGGACAAACTGTGAGCTGAAAACAAGAAGATGCGGGTTGTTGGACGCTCGTTCAAAGTTCCTACGCTCTGTGACGCGTTGCGCTGTCCAATGTACTTAAGCTCCAGCGCACACACGCACGCGTGCGTACACACACGATCCAGGGCCGTAGCTATGATTTCAGGCGGTTTAGTGTCAGACGTCATAAAAGGATGTGAAATTAATTATTCTCTCCCAGCAACTGAAATGTCTACTGATCTGTGGGGAAACAAGAACCCTGTCAGGAATCTTTTATTCTGTGTGTGATATTACAACCAATTTCTCTTCACGCTATAACGAGTCAATGATAAAGGGCAGCCTTAGCGGAGTCCAACTCTCACTGGAAAAAAGCTTGACTTACTGCTGGCAATGCGGCCCAAACTCTGACACCGGTCATACAGTGACCTAACAGCCCAACCTCTGGGCAGATCCCATCCACCCCTAGGCCTTTGCCACGGAGGAGCTTTGTGACAACCTCATTGACCTCTGCCCCAGAGATTGGACAGCCCAACCCAAAGTCCCTGGACTCTGCTTCCTCACTGGAAGATGTGCCGATACGATTGAGAGGGTCATCAAAGTACTCAACCCACTGATCCACAATGTCCCAAGAAGAGGTGAGCAGCACACCGTCCCTCTCCAGGTCTCACTATTGTTGCCCACATGAGCGTTAAAGTTCCCCAGCAGAACGAGGGTGTCACCAGAAGGAGCACTCTCCAGCATCCCCTTCATGGACTCTAAAAAAGGGGGGTAGTCTGAACTGTAGTTTGGTGCATAAGCACAAACCACAGTCAGGGCCCATCCCCCCACACGTATGGAGGGAGGCTACCCTCTCGCTCCTCCTGTGGCAAGGCTCCGGGGGTGGATGAGATCCGCCCAGAGTTCCTTAAGGCTCTGGTTGTCATAGGGCTGTGTTGACTGACGCAGCTGTGCAATGTCACGTGGACATTGGGGGCAATTCCACTGAACTGGAAGAGTGGGGTGTTGGTCCCCCTATTTAAAAAGGGGGACCGCAGGGTGTGTTCCAACTACAGGGCGATCACACTCCTGAGCTTCACTGGTAAACCAGGCCCTCTGATATGGGCTGTTAAGTCCCCGTATGACCGGTGTCAGACCTTGGTCTACATTGCCGGCAGTAAGTCGGACTCATTCACATTAAGAGTTGGTCTTGTCCAAGGCTGCCCATTGTCACCGATTTTGGTTATAACTTTGTGGGGACAGTGGGGTACTGACCTCAAATTGGGACATAGTGCATCAGTGTTTGGAGTACTTACAAGACCTCCTCAATCCCACCAGTAAGGAAGCAGATTCTATGGACTTTGGGCCAGGTTCTCCACTCTCTGATGCTGTGGTCACTGTGGTATCATAAAGCTCCTCAGTGGCAAGGCCCCAGAGGTGGATAAGATCTACTTGGATTTTCTTAAGGCAGTTCTGCTGGGTTGGTAGACCATGATGGTATTCCACCTGTTTAAGAAGAGGGACAACAGAGTGTGTTCTAACTACAGAGGGATCACACTCCTGAGCCTCCCTAGTAAAGTGTTTTCAGGGGTTCTGGAGAGGAGGGCCCATCGCATTTTCAAACCTCAGATCCAGGAGGAACAGTGTGGCTTTTGTCCTAGCCGTGGAACACTGGACTAGCTCTATACTCTTGGGGGGATCCTGGAGGGTGGGTGGGAGTTCGCCCAACTAATTTACATGTATTTTGTGGATTTGGAGAAGGCGTTTGACAGTGTCCCTCGAGGGGCCATGTGGGGTGGAGGCGTGGGAGGGTTCTGGTGTATGGGGCACCAGGCCCCTTTTTTCAGGCTGTTAGGTCCCTGTAAGACTGGTGTCAGAGCTTGGTCTGCTTTAAGTTGGGCTAGTTCCAGGCGAGAGTTGGTCTCCACCAAGGCTGCCCTTTGTGACTGATTGTGTTCATAACTTTATGGGGACAGTGTGGATTTCTAGGCAGCCTGTCACGTCGAGTGTAGGTGGTTGGACCCAAGATGTAGAAATCCCCAGAACGACTCAAGGAAGGAGAGATTTAAAGAAAATAAATCCTCTATTAAAGGAGGATGTGCCGAAATCCAAAGCACAAATAAACTCAAAAACAAACAAAAGCTCACACACGAGCACAGACTCTGGAAAACTCGAGAGGGCATTGAGCAACGCAGACACATACGACAATGACCCAACAAACACTGGAGGACAAGACAGGCTTTTAACACAGAGGGAAGCAATCAGGGGAACAGGTGACAGGTGTAATCAATTAACTAAATGGGAAGGAAAAACCAAGCAGAGGGGAAGATAACAACCTATAAAACACTAAATAACAAAACCTAGAAACTAAGGGCAAAGATAAACAACTAATGACAAGAGGAGTAAGGGAGACTAATTAACAAGTGGGGAAGGACACAATCACTAAGGGAACTAATAAAATGAAAAGCTGAACCTATAGAAAATAAAACTACAGAGGGATGACCAGGGGAGACCTGAGAAGCTGGGAAACACCAGAAGACACATGAGGAGAATGCAGAGGACAAACAGGAGGGGGCTGGGGACCAAGGGGACACAGAAGATGACACAGCCAAGGTGTTGATGAGATCCATTTTGGTGGTCTAAGGATCAGGTCTCTGCTTTTTGCAGATGATGTGGTCAGACAGTGATCTCCAGCTTTTACTGGAGTGGTTCGTCTCCAGATATTAAGCGACTGGGATGAGAATCAGCTCCTCTAAATCCGAGACATGGTAGAATGCCTTCTCCAGGTCAGGGATGAGGTCCTTCCCCAAGCAGAGGAGTTTAAGTACATTGGGGTCTTGTTCACGAGTGAGGGAAAGACGGAGCACAAGATCGATAGACGGATTGGTGCTGAGTCTGTAGTGATGCAGGTGGTGAAGAGAGAGCTGAGCCAGAATGCAAAGCTTTCAATTTACCAATTAATCTAGGTTCCAACCCACATCTACGGTCACGAGATTTGGGTAGTGACTGAAAGAACAAGATCGTGGATACAAGCTCCATTATTTGGGAGGGGCTTGGAGCAGACTCGCTGTTCCTCCACTGCTAGAGGAGCCAGTTGAGTTGGCTCAGGCATCTGGTTAACACGCTTCCTGAATGCCTCCCTTGTGAGGTTTTCTGGGCATGTCCAACTGGTTGAAGACCTAAAGGATAACCCAGGACATGCTGGAGGGACTAGGTCTCTGCTAGCCAGGGAATGCCTTGGAATTTTCCCGGAGGAGCTGGCCCAAGTGTGGAGAGGGATGTCAGGGCCTCTGTGCTTAGGCTAGCGCTCCCATGACCCAACCCCGAATGAGTGAACGATAATGGATGGATGGACGAATGAAGTACATTCATTATTAATAGCAAACTAATGGTCTATTGAAGATGAAATAAAACTCCTGCGACCATTATCATCACAAAGAGACAGATGTAGATATCAAATAAAAAAGCTGTTTAGCTTCACATGATTTTCTTTGGTTTTCTGGTCAAAATCAGCCTTTAAACACCCAAAAGACCCCACAAACTCCATTTGTTATATTTCAAGTTGTTTCTTTGAGTAATTGTCAACGTTTTTGAGGTTTTTCCCAGTTCTTGTATATTTACATGTTGAATCTAAGAGTTAGCTGAGACAGGTAACATTTCATTGTCTCATTTAGCAGACCTGCTTTTAACTCATGAACCCAACAGACCTCGCATGAATTGTGGAAGAAGTCTTCTGGAGTTTATACCTTGAATCCACAGAGAGTCATGCTGTTATGCTAATCCTGAGATCAGCCGAGAGTGCAAATTGTAACTTTTCCTGTTTCGTCAGGCTTTTAGATCAACTAGTTTTATTTTATGTTACATTTTACTTCATTGTGATTTTAGCCTCGACTTTTATTTAAATCACAAATAAAACATTTTACCGTTTATGTTATCAAATGTATCTGCATTTATGTTAATTGTAATGCAACAATAGTACATTTAGCTTTATTTTATATGTTAGAATCCAAGTTGGAGCCACATGGTGGAGCAGGGGGCTCTGTTGTGACACAGCAAGATGCAAGTTCAACTCTGACTAAGGTGTTGCGTGTTTCTCCTCATGTCTTCATCTGGTTCTTCCCACAGACATGGATGTGGGTAACTTTTTCGTGACCCATAGTGACAAAATGATAAGCTTCTAAGTGAGATAATTACTCATTTATCGGTTTAAAAAATACAGATTAGAAGAGAAACAAGAACACACAAAAAACTCATTTTCTCTCAGTTAATTTATTTGTAATTTTTTCTTTCTTCGTGTCCTGTCTGGCTGTGAAGCAAACAGAATTAATGTCTGAATGCTGGTGACAAGCCTTACAGATTTACTCTCAGGTGGAGCATCAAAGCATCTGCTTTTAATGTCACGCCTGATACTTAAAACTTTATTGCTATTGTTTTTTGAATGCTTTGTAATTCCGACCAGACACGGAGACAGAGGTGAGAGAGAAAGGAAGAGACAAAAATAGGGGGGGGGGGGGGGGGGGGGGGTCCACAAAAACCAACAGTTAATGATGAACAAGAGTCTGCTTCTAGAGCTGCAGAAAAGGGATACACAATAATACAACAGGAGCAAGCCATCACTGCGTTAACCTGATGAGGAAATATAAAATCAACATTGTTTTACTGAACAATCACGATAATAAATCACAGTGCATTTAGTGCCAACCACAGCCTTAAGACATGTGTTAAACGTGCCCAAGTCCATACTTATGGGAGCACCATGTGAGCACCTGTGTGTGTACACGCGCTTGTTTATGTAAGGTTTCTCTATAGGAGCGTCCAATAGAGAGTGTGAGGGACCACAGATCTGCCCCCCAAAGATGGAGGGAGCTCCAAGTCCCAGAGATCCAGGATTTGTTTTAACTAATCCATATTAAGCCTAATTTATTAACACAATTAGTTAATGTTTAAAAATGTATTGCTGTGAAAAACAGATGTAACTGGAAAAATTAGAACATGGTTTGGGTGCAAATGTCAATCAGACTGAGATACCATCTAAAGGCTCCAGGAACCCTTTGCAGGAGTTATGGATTCATTAGCTGATCATTGACAT